CTCGAGAGCTCGGCGAGCCCGCTGTGGATTGTGGTGCGGCGGCGGATCGCGTGGCTGCTGTGGGAGTGGTCGGAGCAGGTGCTCGTCGAGTCGCGGCCGGCCGTCTACGCGCTGCTGGTCGAGCTGCTGTCGGACGTGCCCGGGCGCACCGACGTGGCCGTGCGGCTGGCGTCGGCGCGCTGCATCGCGGCGCTGGCGGATGCGCTCGAGTTCGACGCCGACGGCTTCATGCCCTACCTCTCGGACGCGCTCCAGAGCCTGGCGACGCTGGCGGCGGCGAGCGAGCTGCACGAGATGGAGAGCATCAAGACGTGCACCGACTCGCTCTCGGTGCTCATCGAGCGCATGGGCCCGCGCGTGGCGCCGCACTCGGACGCCCTCGTCGACCTGGTGCCGATGCTGTGGCAGCAGGAGGACCCGGACTGCAAGGCCAAACCGTCGGTCATCGTCTTCATCTCCAAGATCCTGCGCGCCATCGAGCTGCTGCCCGCCGAGGGGCAGACGGCGGCGCTGACGGCCAAGCTGCACGGCGTCGTGGCGCCCATTGTGCGCGACTCGCTGAGTCCGGCCGTGTCGCACCTGCTGGCCAAGGACGCGCTGTCGCTCCTCTACGTGCGCGCGCTCCACTCGACGGCGACCATGACGCCGCCGCTGCTCCACGTCCTCGAGCTGGCAAAGGACCTCATCGCCCAGCCCGACTACTGCGTCGAAATCTGCCGGGCCATCGAAGAGGTGTCGATGCTGAGCCCGCTCGCGATGCTCGAAACGTACGGCCGCGACATCCTGTCGGCCTTTGCCGCCATCCTGGCCGATCCGAGCAGCCCCATGGTGCTGGCGCCCGTCGCGGCGCTCGACACCTTGGTCCAGGCGCTGGCGGGCCTGCCCAACTGGCTCGAGGTGCGCGACACGTGGATGCAGGTGCTCGACTCGACGGGCATCGTCACGGCCCTCGTCGGCTGCCTGCTCCACACAAAGGAGTCGGCCAGCATCGCCACCCACTTTGTCGGCCTCGTCTGCCGCATCGCCTTCTACGCGCCCGGCGCGTCGTTCCTCGGCCTCATCCGCTCCGCGTCGAGGCACGCGCACATGGCATCGACCTACCCGGACTCGACGCTCATCTGGCCGCCCCTCGTCTCGCTCGTCTGCCAGCGCTTTGAAAACATGGCGTCGGCGCGCAAGCGAAAGGTGACGGCGCTCGGCCTCGCCGCGCTCCTCGATGCCGCCGTCGTCGAGCAGGGCGTCTCGCCGGGCAACGCCGACACGCGCGAGGTGTTTGCAAAGGTGCCCGACATGATTGCCGTCTGGTCCGAGGCGGTGGCCGAGATCCGCGAGAGCCGGTCAAACGAGTGAGTCCTCGCCGCGAGTCGGCCCAGCAGCGTTGGGCTGGACCCCACTGACCGGCCCATCCGTCCGCCGGCTCGCTGACCCGCCCCCACTGCCTCTTCCCTCACTCACACCCGACCCGCCACCCGGCAGCTTTAGCAAATACACGCGCCCGACGTCGCCGATCGCGTCGATGGAGCTCGACGCCTTTTTCGACGACGACGACGACCTCGGCGGCGGCAGCGGCGGCGGGTGGCTCGAGGACACGTCGCCTGGCTCGGCGCGCGCGCGCCACATTGCGCTCTCGGACCGCGCGCTCACCGTGTCGCTGGCGGCGCACCTCTCCGAGGTCCTGACGCGCGCCCAGACCCAGGACGCGACGGGCTCGTTTGCCGCCGTCATGCAGACCATCGATCCGCTCGTGCTCGACATGTTCCGCAGCGACCTGGCATCCGCCTGAGGTCGCGTCATCGCCGCCGATGGGTTCAGCAGAAGCGGCGGGAGGGATCGTGCGTCGTAGGCTGCGACACCTTCCTCTCTCTCTCCCTCTCCGTCCTACGGCATGGCGGTAGGGCGGCCGTCGTCAGTACACGTGCGTCCGTCGGTCGGTCCTTCAGTCGGTCGGTCGGTCTCGTTGTCTGCCTGTCTGTCTGTCTGTCTGTCGATCTAGATGGCCATGGCAAATTCTACGCTGCTGGGGGCCCCGCCCGCCCTGCGACGGCGCCTAGAAGCGTGTGGCGGGCGCCTTTTCGACGCTGCTGATGGGCACTTTGTGGCCGACGAGCTCGCGGATGTCCTTGACGGCGTAGCGGATCATGGTGGGGCGCTCGAGGCTGAGTCCCCATCCGAGGACGTTGACGCCGTCGGGGAGGCCCATGGGGCGGAGCATCTCGGGGCGGAACATGCCGCTGTTTCCCACCTCGACCCAGCGCTTGAGGCCCTTGTGGTAGCTGAAGATTTCCAGCGACGGCTCCGTGTACGGGTTGTAGGCCGGCTTGAAGCGCAGGTCGGTGACGCCCATCTTTTTGAAAAAGATTTCCATGAAGCCGATGAGGTCGCCGAGGGTGATGTTGTAGTCGGCCACGACGCCCTCGACCTGGTGGAACTCGGCGAGGTGGGTGGCATCGACGGCCTCGTTTCGGAAGACGCGGTCGATGGAAAAGAGCTTGGCGGGCCGGAATCCGCCCGGCTGGTTGGCGATCTTGTAGAGCATAGCCGACGACACGGCCGTCGTGTGGGTGCGCAGCACGAGGCGCTCCGTCACCTTGCGGTCAAAGGGGTAGCGGTAGCCGAGCGAGCCGAAGCCGCCCTCCTGGTGCACGCGCGTCACGCGCTCCAGGTAGTCTTCGGGGATCTCTTCGGCGTAGGCCGGATCGCGGATAAAGAAGGTGTCCTGGACGTCGCGCGCCGGGTGCTGCTGCGGCACAAAGAGCGAGTCGAAGCACCAGAAGCTCGACTCGACAAAGCGGTTGGTGGGCATCTCGGTGAAGCCCATCTCGAAGAAGATGTTGCGGAACTCCTCGCGCACCTTGAGCAGCGGGTGGAGCGCCCCCGACGCCGGCACGGCGCCCTCGGCGTCAAAGTTGTAGCGCTTGAACGGCGCCGTCTTCCACGAGCCCGACTGGAGCATCTCAAAGCTCAGGTCCGTCTCGAGCTTCTGGATCGTCGTCGCAAACTGCGGGCCCTTGGCAATGGAAAAGTAGACGAGCTTGCGCGTCGCCACCAGCTTGCGCTTGCGCAGCTCGGCGAGCTTCTTTTCGTCGCTGCCGCTGCCGCCGGCGCCGCCGGCGACGGTGCCCGTCTTGAGCACCTCGTCGAGCTGCTCGCGGATCTCGTCGCGCAGCTCGCCGTCGGCCTTGCCCAGCGTCAGCTCGGTCCTGCCAAAGGTGCCGTCCGGCAGCTTCCTGGCCCACTTGTTGCGGAAGGCGTTCGACTGGCCGTCGCGCAGCACGTCGGCGCCCAGCAGCTCCTTGAGCTCGGCCATCGACTTGCCCACGCCCTCCTCGTCCGGTAGCGCCTTGACCAACCGGATCTCGGGCGAACCCTGCGCCAGCAGCGCGAAGCCGTTGGGCAGCGGGCTCGACGTCTGCTCCTCGAGCTTCTCGGACGTGACCATCTGCAACGGGCCAAGGGAGGGAGGAGGCACACGGGATTCTAGTCGGTCAACGTCGTCGGTCGCAAGTCATCGTAGCATGCCAGCGACCGTTGTCACTGCGGCACGCACCTCTTTGCTGAGCAGGCTCTTGAGCACGTCGGAGAGGGCGAGCTGCCACCGTGCGCGCTCCTTGAAGATGCTCTCGTTGGCCTCTGCGCGCTTGGCGGGGTCCTGCTCGGACGGGGTGGGGTCGGCGGTGATCTGGACGTCGGGCGCGATGAGGCGCGAGTCGGCGATGGTGCCCGCGGCGTCGAGGACGGCGAGGAGCGCCTCGGGCGTCGGGTCGCCGCTCATCCTCTGCGGAGCCGCCATCGGTGCGTCGGTCGGTCTGTGGTGCGGTGCGGTGTGG